AAGGAGCAAATGAGATTGCATTCAGATTTCATTGGTGCTCCTTAGTGAATTCTTCCCTAAAGGCATTAGCTGCACAGGGATTAATAGTTTCCTAAATAATTTGCATTCTATCATTTGCTATGATAGAAATGTGCTCATAAACTTCATACATTCGACTATAAAGCTTGCAGATTTCTGGTTGGTTTTGTACTTGATATTTTCCCCATGTTCAACCATGGATCACTCTTCTAATAGCTTTGAAGGTTCCTAATTAACCACTACAATTTGTTCTTAGCCAATGTGCACGCGTTCAATTTTTACTTGTCACAGCCCAGTTCTGCATCTATCCAAATCTGAGTTCACCTTTCCAGGGCCAGACCTGTACCTCTGAGATGAGGTTCCATCAGCACTTACTGCTAGGCACGCTGCTTCCTCTGTTGCTGCCTGCAGGAATTTGGGTTGGAGATGAATGGGTTTTCTCACCTGGAGTGCAAGAAACACTTATGGCTTTCTGCCACCTCAGATGTGCTAATGAAATGCAGTACATTCATCCTCATCAGCCATTCTGCTGTTGCTCCCACACTGAAATGTGCCAGCACTATTTTAGGGGCAATATCTAGATTCTTTGTTCCTGACTCTATTCTCACTGCATAGCAGAGCACTTTTATTCTAGTTCTCTTTTTATTTATATTGTTAAAATGTCTTTTACCCCTTCATATCTTTTAGACAATTCTAACTCAGCTTGATTTCGGAGCAGTTTTCTACGTACTTGCAATAGGCTTTTTTCAACCCACTATGTTGGAACTCTTCCTTTCATTTCCCGCTGGTTGGGCTGCAGATTCCAGCCTGATTTTGCACTTTTGAACTAAAGCAGTTAGCCCTGTGCTCCATTTCCATTCCCAAGTTTGTTATTCAAACTTGATCAGAGCAACGCTTCTCAAACTGAACTCTTTTAGATGAAAAAGGTTTTGACCTGTTTTTCTCTTCCCATTTTATTGACACTGATGTTTTGACCAGTCTGATTTTCTACCGTTGTCTTTTCAATAGCAATCAGTAAAACATGACTGCCTACCATTATTGCACATGACAATTGCTGAAGACTCTAAATACAAATCCAATTGCTAACTATGCTTTTTTTTCCTCTCTCTCTTTCTCTCTTTCTCTTTCAAAAAAAAAGTAATGTATTTTCATTTTCAATATACTCTCTATTGTATGTAATAAATAATAAAAGACAATAATTTATTGCTGTGCATATCCAACTATAACTTAGAAGACACTCCAGGATTCATAATCCTGTCAAAGCTGTACTTTCACTGCCATCCTTCCCTGAGTTTGTCCTACCTACCTGGGAGTTTTCCCAACCTACCTAGAATTGTAGTTTTGGTGATACTTCTCTCTTTAGAAGAACGAACTCAGGGGATTCTGTTGAGTTCTGGGGAAGCACAGGAGGCCAGAGAGAGGAGACCAAAATTCTCTTACCAGTTCCAAAACTTTTTGCATTCAGACCTACTAGAAATGGAATGGTTGGAAAATGATACCAGCTAGATCTACTAGAGTTTGTCCTTTCTTTCAGAGCAGCAGGTGGCTCTGAGAGCAGGTGGTCATCCTTCATCTGGGAAAGTAGAAGGTCATTTCTCCTTTTAAGGCTAAAGAATAAAAACAAAACGTTCCTGAATTCACAGTTCCACTTCAGGGAACAAACTCACTTTATGTCTTTTCACAGTTACCATAATTCCGATTTTATCAGATTGCATTTAATTTCCTTAAGTAAATATCTAAAGGTCACAAAGCATTCTGGCTGGTGCTTGTACATGTGTTTATAGATGTTTTCTTTTCAAATTAAGCTGACATGTTGATGGGTAGCAGATGTCTGATATCATAACAGTACATATGGGATCGTTCATGTGCCAGACCCAATCATCAGATGTTCTTGGGGGTGTAGGGAAGAGACAAGGGAAAGGAAATTCTCCATAATATCCTACCTTAACTAATGCTCACTGAAGTGCATTATTTCAACCAGAGATTCTGCCAGATTTGCATTTTAACTGTAAAATCCATTATTTAAGTTCTCCAATTTCACTTAGTACTTTATTCTGACCATTTGTTGGCAGGCAGTCACAGCAACTAAAAAGGCTAAAAAGCTTTACACACAAGTAAAACACAATAAAAGGAAAACTCTAACCTGTGTGACACAGGGAGCCAAACACTTGATCCTTACATCAGGGTAGCAAGGTATGCTGCTGAAAATCCTGGATGAATGGTACACAGAATTCCTGCTATGCCTTTGGAATCTGGGCTGACTTAATGGATCATGAAGAGGTTTCAGTAAGACTGGGCCCCACAGGTCTGCTGAGATACGATGTAAGAGCAAATTCTTTGCAATCAAACACATTACAGTCTGCCTGGAAATCTATCATTTTGTTAGTGATCATCAGCCTGCCCTGGCTCAGACAGAAATGCCACAGAGCAAATGAGCAATGAAATGGAAGGGGCAGAAGGTGTGGAGGTGACACCTTGCTGCCCGTGGGGGTGCAGCCATCGCTCACACTGCCACACACCTCGCCTCCACTTACTGCTAACGTGTGGGGAACATCACTCACTGCGTGAGACAGCTAATGAAATGGTCTTTAGAAAGAGCTAGAGGAAATGCCTTTGAGGAGCTCTTTGGCTGAAAGGGGTATCTTTATCACTAGTGCAATTGAAGGTCCTAACAATATTGGAACTTCAATCTCCATGGTGAGCAGATGAGACATTTATTTGCCTATCATAAACAAAAACTGGCTGCACATGCACTGAAAACAAGAATTCCTCAGCTCTGCTTGAGTGTATAGTTAGAAATCGACATCTCTGCCTTACTTTGCATCTTATGCCCATTGCCTGGGTTTTACTGCAGTATTACGGCTGATGTGAGGACATCACCAAGCACAGACAGGCAGTGATCAGATGGAAAAGTCTTCCTCGCAGTCTTTTATATTTTTTATTCATGCAGCAAAACAAGATCCGTGCTTCACAAAGTCCTGTAGGTTATTACCATGCGATAAGTTGTGAACTGCAAACACAAGCTGTTCTTAAACGGGAACAAAAAGTAAAAGCAGATGGTTTCTTTTAACGTCTCGCAGAACTTTTCTTGAACACAAGTGTATTTTTTCTCCTCTCCAGCTGGCAATCCCCACATGTAAATTATCTGCTTTTACCATTTCAGGAGACTCATCTGACCCCCTCTGTTATAAAAAGGCACATTACCCTTACAGAGAGAGAAGCAAACACAACTTCAGAAAACACTTCTTTCATCGTCTATTGGAAAATGCATGTGGAGCTTTCTTTCTTTCTTTCTCTCTCTTTTTTTTTTTCTTTTTTAAGAAAATGAGAGAATGTGAGAAAATGAAAAACTGTCTTCAGAATCACCCTTGACAGAAGTTCTGTGCCTGTGACACTTTGAAACATCCACTTGTCTCCCAGCCACAGACCAAGCAGCCATTGCCTGCTGGATGCACTGGGCTGCCCAGGGGCAGTGCTGCAGATGCAGAGCAGTGACACTGCCTCAGCCACAGTGCATCACTGCCTGCCCCATCCCACACCTCGAGCCTCAACCTAGGGCGTGCTGGGATCACAACCAGCATGAATATGTTTGTTTTCTAGAGGAACACATTTGTGCTGGGAGGATCCCCAGCTGAACTCAGGCTGGGGAAGTAATTATTCTTGGCGGATCCCCAGAGGAGAAGGCCTTTTTTTTCTTTTTCTTTCTTTTTCCTTCCTTTTCCCTGAAGTTATTTATGTTTCAATTATATGGAATGTTTTGCTAGGTGGAATCTTTTTTTTCCTCAGAAAGAAGAGAAATCCATATTCACCAAAGCAATGGGTTTGAGGATTGATTGTTAGAGACCCCTGATGCAGGCAAGAAGTGAACTGACTGAGATTTGCACGTTACTTAGAACACATATAGCTGCCATTGGTGTTACTTGGACAACGGGTGTGAAATCAGATAAATGTTCCATCTATTCAATAGAAAAACTTTTTACTACTTGTTCTGTGTATGGTCATTCAAAATAGATACATTTTCATAACTGGAATGAAATGAGTTCCCTGTTCTGCCTTTTCTTCTATTGAAAAACAAATTCTTGATAGTCATTCTGTTGGCTTTCCATGCACATGGCCCCTCTGCATTTCTTTCTGGAGCTGTCCCACTTTTCTTTTTAATTTACCATTCTGTTTTGTTTCTGCACATCATCATCATTCCCCTTATGTACCAAAACTGAATAATAGGCAGCCCTCTGATTAATTTTAAAGCTTTCTCTGTGAGCTGTTAACATCCATGATAAAGGCCCCATTTAAGAGCCAATAACAATCCCTCTCTGTGAGCCATTCAAGAGGGTTTCAACCAGTGCTGTTTCATCTTCTAGATGTTTAATCTATACATTTCTAGAGCCTGTATTTTTAAAAAGAAGTGGCACTAGCATAATAACACCACTTAGTAATCAAATATTAATGGTTTTCTAAATGTTTATTATGCTATTAAATTATTTCCACACACGGGCAGAATAGATGACTTCTTTTCTGCAAAAGAAATGGTATTAAATCAAGCATTTGGCCATTTAGCAATTTGCCTTCTCTTTCATTGCCCTCTCTTCCCTCCTAATCTCCTAAACTGAAAAGGAAACCAAGGAAAAGTAAGAAAAATAAGAGGAGAGAAAATGGACTTAAAGTGACAAGGAGTGTTATACAACCCAATGACACAACTAACAGAGCTCATAAGGCAAAATGGTACCTGGTCGTGGTGTTTGTGTTACTTTGCTGACCCTCTGTTTGTTCAAAAGTTTCTTAACTTATCCTAATTAGAGTAACGAGTGACAGCCTTCATTTTAAAAACCAGCCTAAGATTTATGGCCTTATAATTATTTAGAATTGTTTTATATAAAATCACATTCATTGGTAGCTCTACTAAAGAAAGAGTCTCATCAATGCCCAGCTGAGGGATCAATTAATGAATTGATTCCAGCTGCAGGATCAATTAACAACTTACTAAACATCAGAGGAAACTCCTAGGGGAAATTCCTTCTGCATGCTCGATCAGTTGTGCAGCTTCAGTTAAAGTTTCAGTCTGTAAGGCTGCAGATGCCTACCTGTAAGTTGTTGGGTAACCCCAATATTTGAGTAATTTTCCCTGTTTTTTGGAAATAGTTATTGTTTTACATAACTTTTTTAGGGTAGTTGTTTAAGTAATGCTCCTATTTGGAACTCAGTTGTGTTTACTGTCCTTCTTTTCAGCAACCAAGGGGGAGAGTTGGTCTCCTTGTTCCTATGGCAGCCATGGACCCCTGTGCTTGGGTGGTCCTCCAGAGGCACTGACACAGAGCCTGAAAGGAAGCTCCAATCTCTGATCCACAGGTGCCTCCAGCCTGGCAGGACCTGGTTCTTCTGGTAGGTGGCTTCTATGGTATTCTCATTAAGTTACTAGCCAAAGTGTGTTGTACTGCTGTATTTCAAGTTCATATTTCCATATGTAGTCCCACTAGAAGTGGGAATGGAAGGCAAGAAAGCCCACTGAAGTACTGATATATTGCAAGACAGATTAGGTCTGCTATAGAAACACTATAATTTCATAGACATTGCTGGTGCAATGCTAATAAGAGTATGATTCCTAGTGATGCCTCTTAAAAGGTGTGATTAAAATGATCTGTAGGTGTTGACTTTGCTAGACAATGTCAATTTTTTAACTGTTATGATGCCCTATGACTGTTATGTTACGATGCTATATGCCTTTATTAAAATACCCTCAAAAAGTTTTAGTTCTGACTATGACGCAGATTAGCAGCAGTTCTTGCTTGAAAGTATGGGGAGCCTGGGACTGAGGGCAAACTTCTGGGAGTCCTCTTTCCACTGAAATGACTCTGAAAATAATGAATGAGGGAAGAGAGAAGAAGAGAAGGCAGAAGATGAGCAGAGCAGCTTTGGGTGTGCTTCAATCTCTTGTTATTCACGTGTTCTTTCATTTGGGAGATCGTTTACTCTGGGAACTCAATGCTGATACCAGCTTCTTTTGTCAGAACTGTCTTCATACTTACAGGCTGCTGGAAGAGCCATTAAACCCAAGCTGTAATTCCCTTTGCCTTTGGGCACAAAGTGCTGCCCTTAGCAATGACAATAATACAGGATTGTACTCGCAAAGGGAAAGAAGGGAAGTCTCAGGATAAGATGTGAGGCCGGGTGAGTGAGCCCTGTGCCGCTGATGGGTGGCACTGGGGATTGTGTGTGTACTGCAAGCATCACTGAGAAAAGTGCTTGAGGAGTTTGGGGATCCATTAAGTAGAGAGCAGGACTGTGTGCATATTGTTTTGAGCTTGGATGCTTTAGTGGAGACAACCACAGCTCCAGAATGCAGACTCAAAGCAAGTGTCAGCTCACTTTTTCAAAGATGTGTGCTTCTAACCAAATTATACACTGTCCTTTCCCTCCCTTCCCAAGGTTATCTCATGTCAAGTTCTGGCAGTTCTTGTTGCTGCATCATCTCTGTCTGTTCTGTGACTCACTGCTCAATGTGAGTCAGAGAGCCTTGTAAGGAGGGGAGTCTGCAAGCTGATTTCTGTGTGTCCAAATAACAGACAAATATTTGAATTATAGATAGCAACTAACTGCTAATTGGCCACAACGTAAGGCCCTTCTGACACTGTAAATATGGAAAAGAATAGCTTGTTATTTTTCACACCTGAATGCCAGTCTTTTAAAATGAAAAGCTAATTCTAGCCTGGGAGGCAAGCTCTGTGTTTTAGTCTAGAGTGATAGAGCGAGAACAATAAATGAACACTTAAGGTGAGGAGGATTTCCCTGCAGCAAGTTTACTTGTGATAAGTTATACTGCCCTATGGGAGACAAAATTAAACTGTAGCTTTGATTCAGATCTCAAAGAAGTCTCAGCAGAAAACCTGACTGAAGAAAACAAAGCAAGAGACCACACTTTGAATTGAGCAAAACACAAATTAGGAAAAGCTTGTGTAGATACTGTGCATGTACAAGTGTAATATGTATGTGTATATACATATGTATGTACATATTGAATGTGTATGTTTGGTGGCTCTGCTAGGCAGGGGGGTTGGAACTACATGATCCTTGAGGTCCCTTCCAACCCGGATGATTCTGTGATATGCAATATATTAAGGTGGTGCAGGGGCCATGAAGTGCTGAGACTTCACTGTGGTGACACCTTGGTCTGTCTTGCAGAGTATGCTCAAAATTCAGATGTTAAAATAGTATCTAAGAAGTTATTGAGTGGAGCTCTTCATTGGTACAATAAAGATCCAGGTGTGCCCTCTGGTTCAAGGCATATCTTCATCTTCAGTAAATGTAACTGTTGTTGTTGTAGGGAGGTAAAGGCAGTACTGATAGCTGATGAGCCTCTTGTTCGTTTCATATATGGTTATTACTGGCTTATTTTATTTAGCATACTCCTTGTCCAGCTGTCCTTGCTACCTGTAACAGTGCCTGCAGGTGAGTGGCTGACGCTCACTCGGGTCTCTGCACTCAAGGGAGGGTGGGCAGCTGGCAGAGAACTCCAGCAAACAATTTGCTCTGGTGATTTTATTGCAGAGAGTAAAAAGGTTTTAATTCGTCTCAGTGAATGTGTTTTTATGATCTGCCTCGGTGCAATCATACTTGTGATGAAATGAAATAATTAGAAAACTTATTCTCTCTGCAGTCTGTTTACGACTACCAGAGTAAGTGAAAATCCAGCCTTTTATCTGACACCAATTGGTACAGCGTTCTTGAGCTAAATTGGACTTTTTTTGCCTTTTTTTTTTTTTTTTTTTTAAGCTTAAACATATCTTTCTCTTTCTCCCTTTCTTTCTTCTGTTTCTGAATACCAGTAAATTAAAGATGACAGGAAACTGGAAATGCTTTCAGAAAAGGTCTTGAAATTCATGTAAGTGCACATAAGAAAAGGGAAAAAGGGAGAGAAATATAACCCTTCTTCTTTCATAGTAGCATGACAATCAAGAAATTACTAAGAATATTTCATACATATTACAACAATTCTGGGGGAGAGGAAAGGGCAATCTGCACTGAACAATGTATTATACAGTAATTTCAATTTAGATAACCATACAGAAGGTTTTTCTAACCCTCCCTTCCATGACAGATGTCAATTTCTCCATTCTGCACTGGAAGTTTTTGTGTGAGTCACTTGCAGGACAGGGCTATCAGATGGGAGGACTGAGTAAGGAAGAAGCAGTAGGATGTAATTGCACTTCACTGAAAATTTGGCAGTTGTGAAATAAAATGAGAGAATTGTAGGAAATACAACTTTTGTGCCTACAGAATACCTGTGTACTGTTATTAAGAAGCCAGCTGTGTCACAGAGACAAAAAGCAAATTCAGTGTATACAAATGACAAATCACTGACCAAACTGTCCTCTCTGCAGTTAGGCAGGCAGTTCCCTATGGCCAGACTGAGGTTTTTCATGACCAGGAGAAAACTTGGATTTTTTTAGGGTAGGAATTACAGAATCTCCAAGGAAAAGAGCAATAACAAAGAGGTCCAGGGAGTGTTCTGCATAAAACTGTAATATTTACTGGGCTTGTTTTATAGAAATCTTATTTCAGTTTCTACTATAAAACACAGTAACATAATAAAAAGTTGTCGATTAGCTTTGCCACAAGACTTGTTCTGCCTCTGCCCAGCAGCAGCCCCACGGCCTCACTCTGGATGCCATCATCTACCAGCAGCAGCTTGGCTGGAGCACACAATGCAATCACACTCCTCCTGATACTGCATGAGATAAGAGGGAGCAGCAAACAACATTAAGTCCACCCATATTTTTCATTTCCATTTAAATTTCTGTAGCTTTTTGGTGCGAACAGCCTCTGAAAGAAAGCTTCTGAAAGGGGGGAAAGAAAGGCAAGCTCCCTTCTCTACTGAGCAGTTCAGCAGAGGAATAGCCATGGTTGCCCCAAAACAAGCTGCAGCCAGGCTGAAGGAGGGCTCTGGGGAACCTTCCTGCACTGCTATGTCTGCCTGGAAAATTAATTTTTTTATATTGCATTGGTGAAGCTGTCTGTTTGGTTTAAAACCCCCAGTTATTTTGCAGCAATAATTGCAGGAAAAAATAGCATTGTTTTCAAACACTCTCAGTCTGGGATTGTATTTGGTTGCATAAAGAATCCTTTGATTTGTGGCAGCCTCGGAGGCTGCAGGAAAAATATCCTGCAGCTCACAAACCTGAGGTGCTATAAAAGTTTTTAAAATATTAGTTATTACTTGGTGAATTATTTAAAATGATATTGGTTGAAAGTCTTGCAAAACCTACAGGAGGGGGAATTGGGGTGGGGAGGAGTGAAGTTTGGGGAAAAAAAGCAACCACCAGTAAATCAGAGAATGGGGCAGGAAAATAACAAGAAAATGCAGCCATGTGATATAATTTCTGAGGGAATAGCAGTGCTCTCCACAGACACTCCTGGATATAACACACTGATTGCTCACTGCAATTTCTTGTTCAACACAATCATGTTTATTCACTTCAGAGACGTGAATTGTACAATTTGTAGCTGCTGTTAACCAAGGGAGAGGGAGAAGTTCATCTCAGACCCTAGCCACAAGATTTCAAGGGTTCCATTATCCATAAAATCTATGGAGAAACAGTAATAATATTGAAGATACTTTCAGTAATGAAGGTTTTGTGATGGAATGGATTCCCAGAGTGAATTAGGCTACTCCAGAGTCTGATCACTTACAGAAAACATTCAAATTACATTACATTCAAAATCCATTTACAGTGATTTCAGGAAAGAAAATATCTCATATTGTGCAAACGCAGCTTAAATGCTGGGGAAAAAGGGAAAGTACCAGAAGGAGTAAATTCACATTAGCTGAAGTTCCTGACTCCTCTTAAAGCCGTAGAATTATTTTACATTCATCTGGACAGATGTTAAATTATGTCTACAAGGTTTCCTTTCAGGTAGAAATGCTCAGATGCAGTGCAAGCTGTCACCCTTACAGTTTTGGTGCCAGGGTTTTCTGAGCGGCTGTGGGCAGGGAGGGGTCTGCAGAGAGGTGCAGGAGGTGGCAGGCAGACAAGCAGCCTGCACTGATAGCAGAGAGATGCTTTCCCAAAACCAGAGGGAGCTGCAGGCCAGGCTTGTCCCTTTTGGGGTGGTTCTGTACGCAGATAGGGGTGGAAGAGCTCGCACTCACACAAACTCTCTGAGCTTCTCACTGTTTCTTCAGTTCCATCGCTCTCTGGGAAGTGCTTGTGGTCAGGATTTCTGTTTTTGCTGTTGTCCACATTTTTCTTTAGTGGACAACTTAGTTTCCAAGTAAAGTTTGTTGTTGAGTTGATTTTATTTGCTTTATTTCTTATAGTGGAAGATCTGCTTTTAGGGCAGAACGTTAAATTCCACTCTGGGAATCTTTGGATCAAAAGGACAAAAATTCTTGGGGTTGAGCCAAATACTCTTCAGCTTTGGTTTTGTGCAGGACATTGGAAGTTTTGCTGAATGGTGGTTTCAGCACAGTTGAGATTTATTTTACATTTTTGTCAGGAGCTAAAACTTTTTCTTTTTTTTAGTGCTGTGGTAATAAATCTACGCGTTGCCTTCACGACTGCCTTATTTCTTCACAAGTTTTTATCTATTAAGGGCAAGAACCTTGGCAGGCGAGAAGCAATAGAGAGCTGTATATGCTAAAGGAACTATATTGACTTATTTCTGTTGGTGCATTTGGCCCCAAACCTGAATTTTGTGATTAATTATTCTTACTTGCAGATCTATAGACTTAATACAGGCAAGAAAATGTGGCAGCAGTCACCTTGACTGCAGCTTCTTCAAGGTTACAGACAAAGTCGTATTACTGCACTGTAGAGCTGTCACAAGGGTACAGGCTTTCTAATACTGAGAATCTGCTGCTAAACTTGAAACGACAGGTCATGCCAGCTTGGGAGAATTCTGTAGTTTATTGGGAGGTAAACCTCATAAAAAGCATCTCCAAATTCAGTTTGATACAAAAATGTTTTACAGATTAAAATCTGTTAAATGTGAAAATAAAATTTGCCGCATCAGTCATCCGCAATTGAGAAATGCTGAGACCTGGGGAAATAACTCGTAATGAAATCATTCTCTTAGAGTCTTTTGAGAGGGGCATTCTGGGGCAATTTTATCTTCTTTGCTCTCATAATTTCCTATTTGAATTTTACTGCCAATTGCTTTAGCTATTGATTGGGAAAGGAGGAACGTGAATGCATTTTTGAATGATTGTTGTGCAGTACTGCTAAATCCCGCTCAAAAATCTCAGCAGTCGGGATCCATATCAGGAATTCTTGCATGCATGAGGAACCTGCAGTTAGGATGTGTCTGGAAAATGTACCATTTTCGCCTCTGGACTCTTAGGATTGCCAAGGATATTCTGATTTCTGTGCTGGATTTCTTCTGGTTCATTTGAACAATGTTGCCTCTGTAGCACAGGATTTTTGTCTAAAAATGCCACTATGAAATCAGCTGCCATTGCTAAAGGTAACAAGTACAGCCTTCATGAAGCTGAAAACACAGTGGTCCAAGCAATGTGGATTTCACCCTGTGTTATATATTGTATTCCATTTTCCATAAATATATTATTTCTCAGCAATCTCTAGATGTAAAATTATGATAAGATTCTATTATGGTGACAATAATTCTCTTTTGAATACCCATAAAAGTCTAATGAAAAATCAAATCCTGCTTTCCCACAGGTGACGGTGTAGCACATTCTCTAATTATGTCTCCATCATCTCTCTGTGACACTTTCCTCAACTTGATTCCATAGGGAAGTTTGGAAAGGAACGTAAAGATTTATTGAGCAGACGAATGTAGAGCTGTCACTTTTATTTCATTTACTTTGTTTTGCCAAGAAGAAAGAAATTACCTGAACTTCCTCTGTTATTATTATCATTCCCTTAGAAAAATAGTGGAGAGGTGGGACTGGAGATAAAGGAGTTAAAATGCAGTAGTTTAGACACAAACACAATGATCACAATAGTGCAGGAAGGCAAAG